GATCGATGGGCTAGCTTGGACGAGCGCCGCGACCGGAAGCGCCGCGCCGCCGGCTCGTCTTTGCTGGCATTTGGATGTGGCGTTTGGGTGGGCATGGCAAATGATCCCTGGAGGCCGGAACTGGGGAGATGGTGGTAGTGAGATGAACGTCGAGGAGGCGCGCGACAAGCAGGATGGACACGACCCCTTCCTCCCCCTGTTTTTTTTGCCCCGGAAGTTGCTTTGTTGTGTTTTTTTGGCGGCTTGAACCCCCTATGGCACTCGTCGGCGGGCTCGACGAGGTCAAACCATAGCATCTCCTGCTTGGCAGAATTGTGCTTGCTTAGTGCTTCGTTTATTGGTGAAAGGGCTTCGCATGCTGGTGAGGCTGTCATGGCTAGCGGGGGGAGGGGGGAGGGGGGAGGTTGCTTCCCTCCCACGAAGACGAAGGGGTGAGTTTGGGCGACAAAGGTTTTAGCGGTGTTTTAGTGACAACGGGGCAACGTGATTAACGTAAAATGGAGGAGGAGGTTCTTTTGCTCGGTCTGTTTTTCACGAAAGAGGCAGTAGGTGGCGGTTTCATCTTCAAGTTGTTGACGTCACAAAATGTTTGTGATACGGATATAACACTGAATTCGTGAACACTTAACAGAACCACGAAACCTAATATTTTTTATAGAATGAAAAAGTAAAAGTCAAAGTCTTATTTTTGACACATAAAAGAGAACGTTTTTAATTGTTTCCCGAGAAAGGAAGCAAAAAACCGAGCAAAAGGTTTAGCGATTATCAAAATGTGCAAGAAAATCATTTCCAGCAAAGAGCATGTTATAAGACTATAAGTCGTTCACAACTTCCAAGTAGATTGACGAAAAACATAGCTCAACAAGACAACCTTTAAGGACTGCAAGGCGAACTCGAAAAATGTTAAAAAAAATATTTTTAGTGAGTACTTATTTATAAAACTGTAATTCATTTTCAACAGTTTGGTAAAAACCAAGCTCTGTGAAAACTAGTTTATAGAACTATAAATTAATATAAATTTATTTTTAAGTTAACTGTAAAACCCTTGTAAAAAAATAAATGTTATGTGACCAACGTCGTTCTGACCTCGTCCATTCGTAAACCACGGGGACCTAGAACATTTGCAGATACCAGACAAGCCACCAATCGTCGCCATAGCTGTAGTTTCGATAATCCACTCTTTCAGGCACTGGATGCAAACATCCAACCAGAAAAACATCTCAACCTTACTTCGGGAAGACTTACTGTGGTAGAGCTACTATCTCCACCGCTGCTATACCCTATTTTCGCCCTACTAGCTAGCCCCTTCACCGCAGAGCGCATTATCTCCAACCATCTCCACAAACACAGTCCGTTGCAACCAACATCAAAATTATGAAAATTTTTCTGTTACTACCTAAAAAATCAGAAGAATTCAGGGAGCTCAAATACAAGTGCAGGAATCATAACCTAAAAAGACAGTCAACACCTATTCTTCCCATAAGGAGAGAGGATGTGAGGGAACTACGTATCTCCCCATGAAAATTTCTGCGCCTATTCACGTCTCTGCTGAATGCAAAAGATTCATAAGAAACCAAGCAGATTACTCTTCCCTCCCAAAAAACAAACTTTTGTCCTTTCACTGCCTCCGCTGGAAGGCGCCCCCTCACCTCCCAGACCCAGTTCAGAACAACCCCCTAAATCACTCATGCTCCCTCAGCAGCACGCGATACCACCTAGAGCATGCCTCCACAGAGCCGAAGATCCCCCTTCCATCGTGTCCCACCCGCTCCAAGTGAAACATCTCTCGACCTCTCACCTTGCTGAAAACAGCACGACCCCTTGTCCTCCCTCCCAAGTGCCATGGCTGATCCGACCAAAATCAGCCTGACCCAAAAGAGAACAAAACCCACAATACCGCCCCTACCGTCTCAAGGATCACACCTCCCACCTTGTATAGTAACCCTCGCAGGGAGGGGCTCTAACCCTGAAGGAGATAATTCAATCAGCACTTATGAGCCCAAATCCTACAATATCACAGCTTGAGACTCGATTGTGACCAATTTTTTGGAAATCCTTCAAACAGGTGACATCAAATATCGAATTCAAAAAATAAGAGCCCAAACTTATGCGCACAAATATGGAGAACTACGTCAGATTTAGAATTAGATCAAAGATGTCATTCGGGACATCCGTTAAAATTGGAACGATACAGAGAAGATTAGCATGACCCCTGCGCAAGGAAAAAAAAAAAGAAAAGAAATTAGATCAAAGATGGATAAACGTAGGACATCAATTACACTTTGAGAAAATTAATTTGTAACCCTTTGTGATTCAAAATTGAGTAATCATTCATTTGGATCAAAGCAAAACTCTGATTTACAAATTTCAGATTATGAATCTTACTCAGAAAATACGAATTTAAGATTAAGAATCCTGCTCATAAAATATGAATTTCATATTAGGGTGGAAAACACTCTAGTGTCTGTTTGAGAACTGATACTTAGTCGACGCTGGCCGGAGCCGGGGCGGGCCGCTTTGCCCTGTAGCTTAGCAGGTTGGGGTTTTCTAGGGTGGGTCGTGCCACTTTGTAACCTAGCAGTTGGGGGTGGGAGGCTTGATAGAGATTGGGTATAGGGGTATAGGGGAGAGGCGGATAGGGTTGAGTTGCTGACACTTGCTAAAGGCAAGTGGTTTTCGATCTGAATATTCCCATGATCAATCCTTAGAGAACCTAACTCTCTATGCAGATTGCACAACTGTCATCTTTCGCCAAAGCCGGGTAATGGCCTCGGTAACTCAATTTTTTTTTTATACATAATTTTCTCAATATATTTTTGAATGGGACGCTGAGCCTGTTTCCCAGCACGTGTTGCTCCCCAAGAATAGATTGGAGCATGTCCAATTAAAAAAAAAAGAAAAAAAAAGAATCAAACCTTCCTACGTCACGGGATAGAACTAGGGTACATGAGAGTCAAGGGTCTAGGATCCCTCATCTTCTATCAAGGAACCATGAGGCTTAATCTGAGTAGACAACTAGTGATATGCCCTTATGGAAGACCAGGAATGGCAAAATCTCTCCCTCCTCAACCGAGCGAGCGCCCCCCCCCAACAGGATACAGTCCCCCCCCCCGAACACAGGTCAGCTGAACCATCCTCAATGGCCAAGCCTGATCGGTTCCCCAAATGACGGAAAAGCCATAGCAGACCCTGACAAATTGAGGACGGCCCGGATGGTGGACTGCCGGGAGAGGAACAACCTAGAATCACAAGGAACATCTCCGGATCAACACCTGGATATGGGGACAAAGGGAGATGAGGGAGGGGAAAAGGTGGAGATGGAAGAAGGAGGTGACAACGAGGAAGAGGAAGAAATGCTGACGGAGGAGGAAAAACACATAGAAAAAACTTCAAAAAAGGAAACAAAAAAAGACTGCTACGACGGAGCAAAAGGGAACCGATGGAGGAACTAAACCCTCATGGGCGCAACGGGTTAGGAGCACAATCTAAGAGACGAGGAAGAGGAAGAAATGTTGACGGAGAAGGAAAAACACATAGAAAAAAAGAAACAAAAAGAACTGCTACAACGGAGCAAAAGGGAACCGATGGAGGAAGTAAACCCTCATAGGCGCAACGGGTTAGGAGCACAATCCAAGAGAAGTCATTGGCCATCAGACGAGGTTCCCCGGGCACACAACAAGGAATGGAAGAAACCCTGAAGGTACCTCTTCGGAACCTCTCATCAGCGAGGGCATACTTTCTAACGTTCTTTCTCCTTGCAGCAGACCCCACCCACCCTCCACCCTCCCTCTCATCTTTTTTCCCTGGCGCACCCTCACCGCCCGTCCTACCCTAGTGTTAATCACCCAGGACCATCACTCACTGCCATCTTGGCGGGGTGGTCTGACCAGAGCGGTTGCAGGCACCCGGGCTAAACAGAGACCCCTACAATCCTAGACTCACCCCATTTTGCAAAAGAGAGGCTCATCAAAATAGTAGGACCTGGTGCATCATCTGCTGACCTGTCCAATTTGGTCTTACATGCGGTCAGACCCAGCCTGACTGATGGACATAATATCATACCCAAACAGTAGTAGTTGTTGACAGCGGTTGTAGGTCGTGTTGGTCGTTGTGGTTTCTGCTTTGGGCAGCTGGCTTGTACAATCGCTTTTTTTTTTTTTTTTTTTTTTTTTTTTTGACGAGTACCAGTCGTACAATTTTTTTTCCTGCATGGGATAACTACAGTGCAGCCTATTATTGGGCAATGGTATTATTTTTCAGAATTTGCAGGATTTCTATTTTTTACTAGTAAGAAACAAAAGCTAGTCGTTATCACCTCGTTTTACATCGAGCGCATGCTTTGGGCAATCTACCAGCTGCTGAATTTGTCTTTCTATTTATGCTCAAGATGGAGTTGAGGCGACGGCATTTTTCTGACTGTTTTTTTGATAAGGCTCTGATTAACTTCAATTTTCGCATTGGAGGTGTCTGGTCGGCATGGGTCTCTTGCGTTACCAATTGGGTAAACAAGGGACCTTATTAGTTGGTTTGATCTTGTTGGTTTACGATTTGATCTTTTTTGGGCTTTCAGGCCCTGTTCATTTCGGCTACCTGTTAGTTTTTCAGACCCGGTTCAGTTCAGTCTCGGATAGGACTACGGGGCCTTCTTTTCTTTTTCTTTTTCTTTCCACGTTTTTGGTCTTATTTTTGGTCCAGTTCGGCTTTCTTCAGATCCACTGTCCTCTAGGTTTTGACCTTTCATCTGCGACATGCACGTAGAGAACCGTTGGGGGATCTTACCCCATACGAGTGACTACGCACTTTTATCTATTCGTCTATTCGTTCTTTTTCCCTGTTTATGCCAGTTGGTTGTCAACTCCCCGATGCTTCTACCATTTCTATTTCCCTCCTATCTTCATCCTCTCTTGCTTTTTTTTTCCCTTGCGCTGGAACAGTTACTTTATAGGGCCGGTTGACCCGCTTTTCGCTATAGGACGAGTTTAGTCCTCTTTTACGATGTATCGATCCTCCCTATGCCACTATTGTCATCTGCCTGGCCACTTCATAAGGGAATGTCCTTTTCGGAATCACCCTAATGGGGAGGAGATGATTGCCAACATTCAAGGAGCCGTGGATGACGACTCACAGTACCACAACAACAGTCTTCTCCCAGCACCTGGCGCCGCTTCTGCTTCGTCTCACGGAGCCAGCTCGTCTAGTACTTTGAACACTCTTGTCCCCTACCAGGCTCCTATGAATCGGAGGACTGGCTATTCAGGAGGTGGACATAACGGCGACAACAATGGGGGCTATCGTGGTTATCAAGAGTTCAATGGACAGCGTAATCAGAGATCGTGGGGCGGTGGCTTCCACAATTATGATCGAGATGCACGATTCGACAAGATCTATGGCCTTTTAGAAGAGCAAGCCGAGGAACGCGAGCAGCAGAAGCAGGAGTTAGCCAAGCTCGAGTTGTTGGAGGTGGAGAAGAAAAGGTTACAAGCTGAGGAGGAGAAAAATGCCCGAGATCGTAAGGAGAAGGAACTGCAGGAGAGTAGACTCGGAAAAATTGTGAAGACTAGCATGAATGTGGTTTGCGAATCTGTTCTTGGGAAGATGGTTGACATCCCTGATGATGATGAGCCGGATGTCTGTAAGTTGAGACGGGAATTGGAAGAGTTGAAGGTGAAATGTGCGGGGGAAGGAAAACAGTCTGCGCTGGAGGCCCTTCGTAAGGAAAAGAAGGCGCTCCAGTAGGGACATTTTCGAGGCAGGGAGGAGGACACTCTGAGGAGAGAGATCGGGGAGATAAAAATGAGGAATGACAAACGCAAATCCGGAGATGAATCTGACAAGGTAGCGACACTCACGCTACAGGTGCAAGAGTTGGAGAAAGTCTGTGCGGTGCTCGAGGATAGGGGCGCCGAACGGAGCTCCTTGAAGGCTGAAAACTTAAACCTCAAGAAGGATATTCAAGGTTTGATGAGCGCTGTTGAGGAAATCAAGGTCTCTGGCAAACGATCCGCTGCGGACGTTTCCGAGAAAAGTCCACTCGTGGAACCTGCGAAGGGCAAGCCGCGGATGGTCCCTATCGGTGATGCGGTCTATACGCCTAAAGACCTTGAAGCCCTTCACAACATGTAGAAAAATGCGCTTGCAGGAAAGGAAGCATCCGACAAGGAAGCGCAGATGCTTACGGAACACATGGTGCGGATGGGGGCGCAACTGCTTACCAAGCCCCAAGGGACTATACGCAGATCCTCGGTTAGGAAGACCACGCCTCGCAACCTCAGACCTGTGCTCAATGCGATGCGCATCAATGACGAGCCTTCCGATGGCGATGGCGATCCTAGAGAGCTAGCTAAAACCAAGGCTGTGGACGATGATGAACACAATCTCGAACAAGAGCAGCTCCACCGGTTCCAAGAAGAATGTCGCAAGGATCACCGCCAAGCCAAGAAGGCGGACATGCTCAAGCACTGCGAAGAAGAGGGCATTACTTACACTAAGCTCGACCAGTCTCGAGCTGATGTGGCCGAAATCCGTGCCCGAAGGAAGTTTGCGGACTGGCTGAAGTCGCGCGGTATTCGTGACAACGACGAAGAGGATTAGGACCAGGAGTACGCCACTTCCACTGAAGACGTAAACAATGAATGAGAGTACGTCCTGAGCGTCTCAACTCTCTGGGACCTGGCGCTTTTCTTCCGTGATTACCATAAGGAGCTTCCCGCGGATAAGGTGTCGTTTCTTTTTCGTATTACTATTATTCTTTTAATTTTAAATAATCAGATTGGTTGGGGATTTAACTTTCGAGATTCTTTAATTAAATTATTAAGTAGTGGATACGATTTCCATTCCTGCCCGGGCCCTGTTGTGTATTTGATCATTTCTCCCTGGTGCAAACACACGTATGTCGGTTGTACCTCTCGATCTATTCTCACTCGCTGGAAGGAACACGTCACCTTGACTACTTCTTCTAAAGTTCTGTATCGGAACCGGAAGCTCTATCGATGGTTGCGAAGAGTTGGCTTGGATGCGTACGCGGCCATTCCAATTTTCTCCGTTCCCAACGTTGCTGATCTTCTTCCCACTGAACGGCTCTTCATTCGCTCTTCTTGTCCCTCTCTTAACTCCTCCAAACCTTGTTCCCGCCCCTACCCACGTTGTCGTCCCGGCAAGAAGGAACGAATTCGATCGCGCAGGCACTCCGTTGTCCTTCACAGTTCTCCTACCCGTTATCGCTCGACTCCTTTTCTTTTCTCGCCTCCCTTGGACACTTTCGATGTTTGTTTGGTTAAATCTGCCATCCGAGAGGTCTGCAAGCGATGTATTCTAGGCAATGAAACACCCGCGGACGCGTCCACGGGGCTGATCTCAGATGGCGGCCGCATATGTGGCCGCGTCCGCGGTCGTCCTGGTCTGCGCCGCAGACCCGATTTTACCAGAATTTTCCTGAATTAAATAATAGGTAAAAATATATATATATATTCAGCCTCTTGATGAGTGGGTGAAACTCCGACGAAACAGTTTGTCACAGCCCCTCGTTTGTTGTCCTCTTCCCTCTCTCTGCCTACGGTTTACCGGACACTTTTGTTTGTGATGATATATATGGGGTTGTAGGAAATTTTAAGCCCTACAACCCCATTTTTTTTTTTTTGGAATCGGACTTTGTTTAGGATTTTTTTTAAATCAAAAACTAAATTGGATTTAAAGAAAATTAAAAATATATATATAAAGAAAAGCAGGAATTTTTTTTTGTCATTTTTTATCATGAGATATACCGTCCCTGAGTTGACCTGTATTTGTTTTAGAAATGAATTTCTGTTTTTTGCAGGGGTATGAGGTGTTTTAAACAAATGCAGATGGTAAGAAAAAATGCAGATGCAGAATTTCAAAATAAATAAACAAAAAAGGGGTTTGATTGATTGATTGATTGATTGATTGATTGTGAGTGAGTGTGTATGTGTGTGTGTGTCTGTGTGTGTGCTGCCGCCGCTGCCGCGCTGCGCCCTCGCCCGCAAGCGGACAGCGCACGTGTGAGTGTGTGTGTGTGTGTGTGTGTGTGTGTGTGTGTGTGTGTGTGTGTGTGTGTGTGTGTGCGGGCATGAGGTGGCTGGCGGGGGGGCGGGGCGACCCCTCCCCCAGCAATCAATCAATCAATCAATCAATCAATCAA